GTCAGGGAGTTCAACACCTTGCCAACTTGGCTTTACTAGGCTTCCTTTATTGTATGGTGGATTAGAGATGAAATGTGTATGTTTACCTTTTTAAAGGTACTTGGTAGCTGAGACAGTTTTGGAAGGACATTGCACTGTCAATGAGAAAAGGAACAAATAGATGTGCAGAATGACATTACTCATTCTGGCTAGAAGGGTATTTCTCCATCCAGCCACTGTCTCTCTCCTTTATTTTTTCAGCCTCTTGGCTTTTGGGTGTTTTACCTTGTTGCCTCTCCTACCTTTATATGTTTGGAATGCAAAGATGTTACTAAATTGAGGTTAATAGATATATAAAATAGCTTAGGGATTCTGAAGTCCTGGTTACCTCTGCGAAGCTGCTACTTGATCACATTTTGGTTGTTCTCAAAATTGGAAGTAGGTAGTGGTCTACTTAGCCTTCTCCTGTTCAGTCCTGTGTGGTGATAAAATCCAAAGCTACCTTTTATTGGAGCCTCTTGAAATTATTAGACAGTTCTCCCATGCCTATTGTTTGAAAATATCCTTCCTTTCACTCCCTTCCCCCAAAAAAGAATTGAGCATAATCAAGCAGGAAGAGTTTGAAGGTCATCTTGATGAGCTTAGTTTTCCTCAGAAGGACACCTGAGGAGCTGAAGCTCCTTGTCTTGTACAGATTTGGCTAGTTCTTTGCATATCTTTGTTCAGGAGACTTGAATAGGGAATGGCAGACTTAAATTTCATCTATTAATCTTATATTTAGTAGCTAAAATGGAGAAGGTAGCTGTGAATACGTAGATATGGGGAAGGGAGAAGCAGGCATGTTATCTTTAAGCTTTAGTGAGGAATTTAGCTTTTGAACACAAGCAGGGAGAAAAGCAATTTTTACATAAGTATAACGTGTTAAGCTGCGTTGCTCTGTAGTCTGTTAAATATAAACTCGGTTTATGATAGAGATCCTTCAACTTTGTCCAAGCTGTCAGTCTCTGTAGCAAGTTGAAAACAATCCTTCAGTTTGTGCTTTAAAAAAGAAAATCTGACCTTCCCTTTAATTCAGCTCTGTTGTGTTCCAAACATGGTGGATCTCTAGTGGTAGTCTGAGACTAATAAGATAAATCAAACCGTTCTAGTATTGTGTGTGTGGAGGGGGAGTTTTGGGGCAGTGCTGTAAGGCGTAAATGAAGCTTGGTGTTCGGGTTGCAGAGAGGAACATGGGGTTGCTCACATCTGCCATGCAGTTGTGTGTCATTAGAATCTAGTAAAATCTGCCTCATGATCTTGCTCTTAAGTTTTTCTTGATCTGATCTTTTAAGTTCCTTCTGTGGTAAGATGTGGCTTTTAAGTGTTAGCTCTGCTATAACGCAGTGTAATGAAGTGGAGACTATTAGTATAATTATAAACCAACTAATGTGTTTTGTGGAGAAAAGTGGAAATTAAAAGCAACAGATTGCCAAATGCTGGTTAGCTCATCTTTACTGAGAGAGGAGTGGTGATTAAACACAAAATAAAATATGTATTAGCACTTGCAAGTTTTCATGTATTTAGAATCACGGAGTCTTCAGTCGTTTCCACAAGTAATGAGCAGAAAACCTCAACTTCCAGGACTGTCTGGCTTCTGTGCACAGGTTGACTTTTGTCCTGTAGCTATAAACAGTGAGTATGGTAAATTGCAGAAGTATCTCTTAGGACACGTGTGCTTCATGCCTTCAAGAAGGAGGTTTTGTGCAGCAGGGAAATGTGGTGTGTTGGTTGCTTGTGTGTAGCGTTGGCTGCTTGTGTGTTTTCTTATGTGGTAGCTCTTTTGTTTCCTGGTTGAGCTAGAGGGAAATTTCTACTCCTTTTCTGCTGTTCCCCAAACTAGAAATTGTGCAGAATTGACAATTTACTGAGGGCAAAGCTAGATGAGGATGCCCCTACTTCATACCGCCTAGGATGGGCTTCTGGAGCAGGGCTTAGATGCTTGCAACAGGCCTGGTGCCCTGCACAGACTTGCTGGGGCTCTTGCGGGAGTTGTGGGACTCGGAGGAAGGCCACCACGTTGTCTCTGAGACAGGGCTCTCTTCCTTGTCAGGAGAGCGATCTGAGGCTGAGTCAGATCAGACTGTCCTGCAGCCAAAATCACTGAGACTCTCAGGTTTCCCCCATTGTCTTCTGACATCTTCTACCACATGATCGAAGGAAAGAGTCTCCTGGCTGTAAAACTGCTGGCTCTACTTGTGATCTCTATAATGCCTAACTGGGAGACTTCTGGAGCAGGTCTGTTTAGTTGTGTTCCTGATCTGCTGCATCTCTTGCTTGTTTTGGGCTGGGTATCCTGTGGGAAGACTCTCCAACTCCAGCAGCTCAAGACAAGTATTTGTGTGTGCTGTGGAGCCATCTCTTCACTTCTCCTGGAAGCAAGGGCAGGAGCATCTAATGTTCTGAGGCTGCTGAGATGGCTTCCAGTCTACTGGTCTCTTGTCAATTGGCATATCCATTTGGCTGTGTGGAGGAAGATGGGGCAGTTGTCCCTCAGGTCAGGTACCCCCACCCTGGGTGCAGGTCAGCTGCACACTAGCCCTTTCTAACAGAACAGTCATGGTCCATCTTCACAAAGTGCCGCCACTGATCCCTGCTTGAAGGGGCGTGCAGTGCTGTCTTCCCAAGCTCTGAAGGAAACTGTGTATCCCAGCTACACCAAATTACTTAAAAATGAGGAATGTTTTGGTAGAAGAGCACTGTGACAAGGGAGGCATGTGGCTTTGCTTTTATTTTTTTCTTCTCTACCCCAGCGCTTAAAGCACTGCTTATTTTTTGGCATCTTCACTGGCCTTCTCTCTCTCTCAGGTCTGTCTCATACAGTGATAATATTTGACAAATGTTTGCCTGCTGCTTTGACCCAACAGCTTCTAAACTGAAGAGGAGGTGATAACTTCCAAGCGCTGCTCTTTTTTTCACCCCCTCGTAGCATTTCAAGACCTTTTTCACCCGGTGGTTGTTTCATGTGCAGTTTAAGCATGTCTAAAACGCCTGGTTTGCTTATCCAGAGTGAGTGTAGTAATCCTCGGCTTTTCCTCTTGTAAACAATACATATAGTATGAGGAATGCTGGTTCCCCTCATGGGAGCGAAACAAAACCCTTAGGCTGTGTTTGCTTTCGTCAACTCTGAACAGATAATTTAGTTTACAAACATCAGCATGCAGCAAAATGAGTTCAGTGCAGCTCTTGGGTCAGAGCTGGCTCTAATGGAAGAGGTTGGTGTTTTCTCACCGGTCATTCAGTGTCATCAATATACACGAGGGACTTGAGCTTTTTCTTCATCATCTCAGATAACTTCAGATGAACCTAGTGCTGGTAATGCCTCTCTTCCAACTGGAGAACTACAAAGTTGATCCAAGCTTTTGCTATTTTTAACTTTAGTAAGCCACACTTCCTTGTCTTGCGCTTGGATTCAAGCAATCCTAGTCCAATTGGACCTTCAAATGCGGGTTAGGGCTCCAACTTGATGTATTTTTTTCTTCTTGTTGTTACATGGCAGTGGATGGAGCAGAAGCAGCGTGACCCAGCAGAGCAGCAGCTTTCAGAGCATCTTAATACAACCCTTTTTCTTTCGTTTTCCTGGGAGATAGTGAGAGACGGCTGTAAGCTACAATACACAAAAAGACTTGATTTTTCTACAGTGTTTTTGACTTAAACAGATAGTGCACTCCCACACAGATCACTCCTTGTAGCTGAAATACAAAAAGATGGATTATGCAAGATAGCCAGCGTTCCCCGGTTAGCGACTTATAGGTCTTTGCAAAACTACACAAAAGATAATATATCTGTTGGGGAAAAGAGGAGAAAATTGCAAAGTAAGTTTGCTTTGAGATAGCTTTTTTTCCTTAAGGCAATGGGGAAGCTTGCTTACAACTGATGGCCCCCTAGTTTGCTAGGGATACATTTTGGGTTTGAAAAAGTGCTTGCGTTTTTTTATATTCTGTACTGAAAGAGATAATGAAATCAACCTCTGCCTTTCCAGATTGTCCAGGAGCAAAGAGAGATTTGGAAAGTGGTTCCTTACACACAGTTTCAGGCATCACTTGTGACCTCTTATTTACTGTAATCCTGGGAGTTGGCTCCATTATCCTGGCCCGTTTTTGACACTGTTTAATTGCGGTCAAGTTGTAATCTGCTTGGTGGGAGGATGCGGTGAATGTGAAACCTAGTGATAATCTTGTAATCAGTTTTGTGCTGTTTCGGAAAATGTTAAGTCATGGTTTAGAGTCATGTTCTTTGAATTTGTAACTGAAACAAGGCATCTCTCTGCTTTCAGCTGGCTGACCTTTACAGAAGGGGGAAAAATGTTATTACAAGTAGCAAAATTGAGTCCTGCTTTTCCCCTGTTCTTTAATCTCACTTGACAGAAGTCATTCAATCTATTAAGCAGATCTCATATGCTTTATGTTTGTCACTGTGCTGAAAAATAGACAATTTCTGCAGTGAATGAATATTCTCACTTACATGGATGTGGAATTTGCCAGTGATGCTAGTAATTGTTAGCTAGCAGTTGCTGACGTTTAGTAGGGTGCGTGATAGAAAGAGGCAGATTTCCAGAATAAACCTTATTTTCTCACTTACCTGGGTGGAGAAACTACCACCAATGCTAGCAGTTTCAGGCATGGACATTTAGTGTGCTGAGCAACCCAAAGTGGCTTTTGTAGAGGGAAAGTTGTACCTACCTTGGGGTATGGGAAGCAGTTCGTCTCCGGACAGAGCAGAAGCGTTTTCCCTAGTGCTAAAGGATTGTGATTAGCTTTTAGTGTTGATGATGCCTATAGACCTGCTGTGGATGGCATACTCAGCCTGTAGTGTGATTGTTCCCAGGATTCTTGATTTTTTACAACTTACAAACTCCAAGTCTGAGTGTTGAACTGCCAATCCGAAGTTGGAATGGAATCTGTGGGCTTGGGTAGGTAAGGTGTTTTGGACTACTGGCCGTTAAATGCCATTGTACTGACTCTGAATTTTGTCTGCTTTTACAGATGCCTTTGTAAATAGCCAGGAATGGACACTAAGCCGATCTGTACCGGAGCTCAAAGTGGTGAGTTAATGTCGAGTTTTATCTTTGAAAAACTTTCCCAAGATGTTTTGCGTGAGTATGAAAAAGCTTCTGAAGTTCCTTCAAATTAGAGGGTGGGGGGAAATGTAAAAAGTGATTGTTGAAAAGCAAAAGGATTTTCTTCAACAAAAGTCGCTATGAAGTTTTTGCATCTTTTTATTCTCATAAACATGCTTCAAAGGTCTACTTCTGTGTTTTATTTCTGTTTCAACTTGTTTACTTAGTTGAAGCAAATTCCCAGCACACTCTTCTGAGCAGAGCGATCTTGCAGTATTTAAGGGGTAAACTGGGAGCTGATCTCTAAAGCTAAATGTAATATCTCTAAAGCTAAATGTAATATCTAAGCTCCTTTTATCTACTTGTAGTAATTTTGACTATTCAGGGACTAAACACCTTTTCTCTATTCTTAAAAAAAAAAAATCTAAAACAAATGCTCTGTCTGGGGAGGGATTTTTTGCAGTTAGTTTATCACAGGATTTTTGTTGGCATGCTGAATAAAAATGGAGCATTTGGAAGTCCAGTTGAGCCACTCAGAAACTACATCTTAGTATAAGAATTAAACGGCTTAACAGTTGCTTACACAACCTCGTTCTTGTCTAAAGCTTTCACAGATAAACAGAAGAAAAGTCAAAAGGACTTCAGAGGTAGCACTGAGGGCATTTCCCGAAGTTGCCGTTTTAAAAATCAACTGAGTCTGGTGAATTGGGCTGGAACTTCTTAGTAGGAATTATTAAACAGGCAACTTGTCAAGCTAGCAGCAAAAAGTTGCTGAGATCAGATCGTTCGCCATATGGAAGTTCACGTTTAATTACATGGTTTCTAAAAACCTATGGAAAAACCTATAGCATCTGAGATGCCGTCCTTGGCAATCTCTCTGCAATACCTGGAGCAGACAGTCACAAGGTTGCAGATCCTCTTCTGCCTAAATCACTTCCCTTGTCCTACTGCAGCTGTAAGAGCTGCTCTGACTCGAGCATCTACTCCTCACATGAGTGGCGAAGTGAATTGCACAAAACTATGGAAATTTAAGAAACAGACAGCTGGGGCCATGCTTCATTAGTCCAGTTTCATGTGGTAAATGCTGTTTTTTCCCAAAACTGATTTGATTATAGTGTTTAAGGAGATGAAAGAAAGCACAAGGTCAAGTTTAGCATGACATGTGCTTATCAGAATGGCATTTAAATTGAAACAGCTTTCTGATGACTGCAGTTCTGCTTCTGTTCACCTTTTAGCAATGCACAAGGTAAGCGGAAAAGAAATAGAGTGGATTGGATATCATGGATAGAGCTACATGACACAGGAGTGGCCCGATGTCGTTTAGCTGGTGGTGTCAATTGGAAGAGGTGCATGCAGAAAGTGTAGCGTGCAAGCAAATAGTAGGGACGAGGGACTTGCAAGGTGCTGGCTGCATATGGGCCACTGGACGAGTGGGAGTCTGTGGAGAGCTCCCTTCATCTTGTGCCCTTGCTCAGAATGCCAAACACAGCACTCGGTAATAAACTGAAGTCTTGAAGTCTCACTTCGAGCTGTGCGTACGCTGATGTCTGTGATGCTTCCAGCTCTAGTTCTGATGCGTGTGTCAGTGAAATGGTTTCTCGGTTTAGATCCATATCTTGCTGTTTCTGTTTCTAAAGTGAAAATATCAAGTTCTCTGTTCTCTACAGCTCTTTTCCTAGTACACCCATGTGAAGCTTGCTTGTCTTCTAATTTTTCAGGAATTATGATACTCAAAAGGCCTTAGCCTGGTTGCAGACTATTTATCTGCAGAGGAAACAACTGAAGTGGTGTGTTTAATCTACTGATTCAGAGATGAGATTTTCAGTTTCCTTGCCTTTTTTGGTCTAGGTTATTGCAATATACAGCTGCAGAGGAGGAAGTGGCCTGGGAATGTGAGGCTCAGCTGCTAGTGAGGAACGACCCTGCATGAAGGAAGGAGTGTAGCATATTGCTAAGGTGGCCACAGAAGAAAACAGGCAGCTAGCAAGCAGTTAAGTAGAGCTCCTTGAAAATGGGAGGAGATTCTGCAGAACTAAACCTAGAATTTATTGTATACTTACTGGGTAAAAAGAGGGGTGAAAAGTCTTTCCTCTTATTGGAATTCTTTGTTCATCCTGTCATTTTTTGCCCAGGAACTAGAGAGTTTAATGTTTTATGTAGGTGGGAGGATGAGTAGTTATGAGTAGACACACTTACTCTGGCTTGCTGGCACACAATGAGGGGACTGAAGAGGTTAGTGGTGAGCCATATTCCCTGCAGCTCAGCCACAGAGAGATGGGGCATCCTTCGGAGCGCTGCCTTGGTGCTCTCCTGATTGCTGCGTGCTTCCCTTCTAAAGACTAGGTGAGTCATCCTCCCTTTGCCCAATATTTGGACCTAACTCATTGGTTTAAGCAATTTCTAATAAGATAGCTCATGTCAACATTGAAGATTAAGAAAATGGAGCAATGTGTGCATTGGTGTATAACTTGCACATGCTACATCTCCCTTTGGCAAACTTAGGACAAGCTGTCTGCTAAATTAGCAAACTCATGGGGGACTACTTTGCTCAGCTTTTTGTTTAGGGTCAAGAGAGATTTGTAGAAGAGGACCAGCTTAGTTGTATGTAAAAGGAGAAGTAAATACAGTTCTCATCTCCTTCAAAAGTAGGATCTCAGCTTGGTTCCTTAGGGAAATTGAACTGGCAAATGACAACTAAGCAAGGAAAGAAGGCATTTATTTGAAGGATGGGTAAGAATGATCTCCAACTCCTACCCTCAATTGCGCAGATCAGGGCAGATGTTGAGGTCATGGATCTTGCTGCATATGTCGGTTTACCTTGAGTTGGTGGTCAGCACAGGGACAAATCAGCAGGGAGAGCATCGTTCAGGAACATGAGACTGTGACTGGAAAATGATAGCTTGTTACTGTGGGAATAATTCTGCTCATCAGCTCCCACCCCTCAAAAACAGCAACCCCACAAGACACAAAGCTGACAAACCTTCGTGTTTGGGGCAGTTGAGCACTTTTGAGAAGAAAATTCTTCTGGTACTGAGCTATCTTTTCTGCCTTTATTTAAAAGAAATGCTTAGTAAACCATTTTAATAGAAAAAGATCACATATGCTTGAAGTCTGTTTGCTTATACCTGATTGCCACTTTAAACAGATGTTCCTGCTGTTTTGTCATGGAGGGCAGGTCTTAGACATCAAAATCAGTGTTTGTATGGCCACATATATCACATCTGTGCTTAGAGAGTCAGTGTAAATCACAAGATGGATGCCATGCAGAGACACTTTCCAATAGTAAGATGTAGTGATGTGTTTATTTCAGTGTATTCTCCTGGCAGGAGAAGGTAATGCTGCTCTGAGCTGGAGTTTTCTACCATGAAGCCTGTATGTTGCCTCATGTTCTCAGTTAGCAGGGGTAGTGAGATGAGAAAAGGAATTCTGACATAAACTGATCCCGGCCTATTTGTGTTGTCATGTATATTCGTTTTGTAGTGTAGTTTTTAAACAGATACTCTTGTCTGCTGGCATATTTTGAGTTTTTTCTCCTGTCTTGGATTCTTCCTCCAAGTGCAGAGAAGACAGTCTCTAACAGTGTCAGATTCTTGCCTGAATGTGCTGCTTTGGGTGGCTTGGCCTGCAGTTTATCCCTTTTTTTCTTTTCCAGGGGATTGTGGGGAACCTGGCAAGCGGCAAGTCTGCGCTCGTGCACCGGTACCTGACTGGCACCTATGTGCAGGAGGAGTCGCCTGAAGGTGCGTGCACGTGCGTGGCGGTAGCAGCGTGTTCTTAACCATGCACAAATGAGTTTGTAAAGATTCAGTTTGGCTTTTTCACTAGATGAATAGACAACTGTGTTTTTCCTTTCATGCTCTCCACATTGGAGATAAATATAGGCAATGAGTATAATTTTTCTGTAACCACTTAGCACCCTTAAATGCTTTCCAGTCCATTATTTACCCATGTGGGAAGCTTCCCTAGTCATGTACTGAGAAGTTACTGCCCTGGGTAGTCCTGATACTAAAAGCACTTGTTGCATCTTGCACTGGGTTTTTGTAGTATTTGACCCTATAGTTTGTGATGCTTCATTTTGTTTTTGCTCAGAACCAAAAGCCTGAGCTGGATTTAAATTGTTCCTTGTTTACCTCTTAAAAAAAAAAAGTTTTACATTTTTTGAAAAGAATGTTTTTAAAATGCCACAGATTAGTTAATTTGTACCTGAAAAGATTGCAGTGTTTAATCCAAGCTTATAGCTTGAAACAAACAAAAATCATAGAACCTTACTGAGGTTTATCTTACATTAAATACTTTCTTGATTTATTTTATTTATTCTCCTTATGAACGTCTAAATCCAATTCTGAGACACTGAATTTCTGGTTCCTTCTTTTCCTTACTGGCTGTTCCATTCTTTGCAGATATGGATGCAGGTAACTATACATTCTCCTCATGGCAGCTCTTGTTTTGAAGAGACAGAAGGCACAGTTTTTGTACTGTAGCGTTTTCCCCTTGTTCTGTGTATCATCTCGATTTGTTTCCTTTTGATTTCCAGTCCTTAGTACATCTCACTGTTCTTGTCCCTTGCTGTAGCTGTCTTTTCTTCAGTAGTTTGTAGCTTCATGCATCTATGGTAACATTTGTTTCAAATTAACTCTTACCAAAGGAAACTGTTAAGCGTAGTATCTGACACTTTAACATTTTTTAAAATGGGAGGAGAGGGAAAGGGATGAAAAAGGCTGTTAAAATGTACTTGCAGTACCTCCAGTCAGTACCCTCAAGCTAAAAGCTTTTGCTCTTAACTGGGACTGTGGGCAATATCCGAGGCTGCTGACGGCTACATCTTAGTTGGACTATTCAGTGTAGAACAAGAATTTGCTCATCTGATGGAGAAGGTAGCAGATCATGTTATTGCCTGCTGCTTCTCTATGCTGATAGCAAGCAATAAAAATATGGTGTGTGAATTAATTGAATGCAACAAGTCCTCAAAAATAATCCGCATCTCTCCTGATCTTTTCCCCCTCATCTCATGAACTGAAAATATTTTGTTTATTCTTGTGAGACCTGAATGCCTTGGTTATTTGCAGTTAACAGTACTCTTCTGCTATGCTATGAATATTTTACATGGTGCTCCTTGGGAGTGTTGCCATCTGTCCTTTTGTTGTCAAGATTTTTTTATTTACAGTATCTAAGTGAAAGTCAGACTGTTTATCCTGGAAGAATTCGGATACCAAAGCAGTGTCAAATCATTTCTTTGCACATAAGCATAGCTGACAAGCTTCACTAATGACACCATTGCCATTCATTATTAGTAGAAAAACTGAAATAATTAAGTGCTCTAATTCACCTTGTAGGGGGATAGGGTCAAGTTTTTAATCAAGTTAGCAGGAAAGAAATCCACATAATATCACCCACATAGTTTATCCTGAGTAAATATCCATAGCAATTATTTGTGGCCGTGTTTTCTTTCTGCACCCTGTTGTTTTGTAGAAACCAAGGCACCAGTGCAGCTGGGTCTGGATTTGGCCTTCTACAGGGCACTGTAGCTGTCCAGATACAACGTTTGTCTTGAGACCAATGTCAATCTTCCTTTTGTCCTTTCTGAGGGCTTGGAAATGTGCAGGTTTATTAAGCTAGGTAGTGTAATATGTATGCCAGGTATTGCTGTTTCAGCTGTTTGTGTAGCTTAGAGAAAAAGGTTGACTGACTTTGGCTCACTTGCAGCCCAGCATCGTAGTTGGTGTTTATCAGGCATCAAGTAACGGGTATCCAGTTGGGAGGAGATTGATGTGTCCTTCATGCAAGGATGGTGCTTGCAACCAGAGGCCGCTCTCCCTTGCCTTCTAAAGGGCTGCTGTTACCCTGAAGGCTGTCCCGAGCTACGCAAGTGCCAGGTCTCCCTTCAGGCCTTTAAGGTAGCTTCCGTGTGCCAGTAAATGCATCTTAAATACATACAAATGGCTTCGTGTTTCCTTGAGCTCTTTTCTTTAACACAATACAACTGCTCCTTCTGCACTGCAGCCCCTCGGACAAGGGATTGTGTAACATCCAAGTGTAGAACAGTTTTTCTTCCTACTTGTTTGGCCAGACTTCTATTTCTGGTCACCATGAATTTCTCTTGCTAAGTGATTAATACCTTTAGATTCTAGTAATGTTGAAATGTGAAAACTTTTTTCTATTAAGATGAGATAAATTACACTGGTAGAGAAAAAGGTTTTTTAGACTCTTTCTTTGCCTGTCTGATGGCTTTGCAATACATTTTTAAATTGGTTGTACTTGGAATGAAAAGACATGGATATATTGTCCAAAACAACTTGAATTCTCAATTGCGAGACTTGTGCTTTTACTCTAACAATGCTAGAGAGGTAGATTTAAAATAGGATACATGCAGAAGATCACAAATTGCTTCTGCAAACCTCCCAAGTCAACAGAAGAAAAACAGTTGCTCAGCAGCCACTGGTGTGTGTGGCTGTTTTGGGCGTTTCTTTTTCATGTAGCTGAAAGAAACGTAGTAAAGCCTCAAATGAGCCTGCCTGCAACATTGACGTATCTTTCATCCATCTGAAATTCCCTTCTGCCTCCAGGGACGTGGTGACATGTGGTGTGGGGGGAATTGGAGCGCTGTGTAGACCAAGGTGAATTAAACCTCACAACAGGAGCGAGTTGCAGGGCTTTTTGATGCTGCAGAGCCACAGAGGCCTGAATTAACATGAACATGAATTCAAGGCCTTGCACACCTCTCGTATGTCTGTGAAGACCCTAATGGACGTAGTCATTATTTCAATTTATTTTTTGTCTATGAGAGTGTGTTTATTTTTTGTGTGTTTTTATTATGGGTTTTTTTTTGTTGCTGGCTCTGAGACTTGGTATTTAGTGGCAATCTTCTGTATTTAGGTTAACAGTCTGGGTTATTGTTTGGATATTTTTAAGCATTTTAGATATTCATTTCATTTTTGTATCCCTGTTATTTGTTATATCTGGAAACTATTACTTCCGATATCATGTAGGATCACTTTACTTTTTTTTAGCCTTCTAATTAGCTTTTTATCTATTTGCGGACTCTCACAAAATACACATACTAAAAAAGTAGAATCATCATCTCAGTCCTTTCAGCTGACTTCTTTCAGGGAAAAACATGTGATGTTTCAGTTACTGGGCACTATGATGAAGGCAAAAATGATGTTTCTTCTCCTCAACCAAAGGAAAATACAAATTGTCTATATGTTAAATTATGTGTTTAGACAAGCAAGCCAGGAAGTGAATGCTGTGTTTTGACATTGTCTTTTTACCTTCAAAAGCTGGGAGATGATATAGTGAAATGGGACCACAATTTAATGTTAAATAGAGCATGGCAGCCACTGCAGAGTTTGATAATGTTTTCCTTTTGTAACAGACTGATTCTTTCCTTTTCTTCCTGCAATTCCTGTGTAAGAGAGATTTAATTATTCTTTCTGCTGCCAATTAGGTTCCTAAAGTTATAAATTCTTTTCACTATTTTTAGCTGGTTAAAGCTTTTTCAAAATTGTAGGAAAAGGGAAAGAGCTAGAGGTTGTTTTTACTAGCCATCCAAATATTATTTTTTAAAAATGAAAGGAAAAGATCTGATGTTCACGCCTTGTTCAGCTTGCAAGGCTTTGCACATCGCTTGTACAGTGAGACTTTGCAAGAATTGCAGGTGCACATTACTTCAGAATAGCAACATCAACCTACCAGCCCAGTTCCTCTAAATAAGCTGGATATCCCACCCGTCCAAGCGCTCCGGCAGGCGTTTCCTGTGCTGAATTCAGACCCGAGGTGCAGCGTTTCGCAAGCGCCATGCAGTTCTGGGCAGCTGAGAACATTTCCATCTGTGGAACCTAAATAGCTCTTGGGCATGGAAGACAGCTGTGACTTGAGACATACATGTTTCAAAATCTTTTAGTTCCTTGTCTTGCACTCGACTAGAATAGCAGCACTGACTGTTTTCTTATTTTGTTGTTGCCTCAGACTGATAGGCAGCTATGAAAGAACACCCTTGTCTTTGTTTTTTTCTCTGATCACTTTTAAAGTTGGTCCTCCTGGGTTTTTAGAGCCTTTCGGACTTAGCATGAAAGTGTTTGTGTTCTGAAATCTGCGGTCCCCAGCCCTCCCCTCTCTCCTTTCCCCTTCCTCTCATCCCCCCGAGATGAGCTGCGCCTTAGAGGAGCCTTTGAAAACATCCCTGCTGCAGCAGTCGAGCTGGCTGCTCTTTAAAGCGTTGCGCAAATAAGGAACTATGTTAATTAAAGGAAGAAGTTGGGATTTGCTCTTTCATGGAGGAGGGAAAGATGCTGAAGAAGCAGTTTTTTGGACGGGACTTCCCTTTTAGGTTGTGCGCCTTGAGGGTGGAGTGATCCGAGTGAAGATGTCTTGAATGCAGTGAAGCTCAGTTACTCAAAGGTTTTGAAGACTAATGTCTGTAGGATTTGTGCCCATCCAACAGGCTCCTCTGAAGATTTCTTACTAGATAAAACCTGCAAATTTGATTTATACCTGCTATTATATCTTTAGGCTCTTAATGGCCTTAAAGATGATTCCTCACTCTCCAGTGTGCTTTGATTGCTGGTGCTGTTGAGTCAAGTCATGCTGGAGTGATCGCTGATTGAAGAAGGGTGGGCCTTTCCTTTTGGATTTGGATTTTACTACTGAAGGTGTTTGTTTAAATGTCCTCAAGTCATATTTCTGCCTTCTCAGCTTTAATACAGTGTTTATTTTTCAGCTTGTGTTGGGCTGTTGCTGTTGTATTCAGTCTATTAAATCTGCTGTTGGTTTTTAGGTGTAGTTGCAGCGTATTGCAGGGTGCAATAGATAGATGGGTTTTATCTGCAAAACATGTAGTTCTGGACATGCTTTTGATTTTGCAGTTGGTCCAAGGGACCTTGCTCATCTGGTCTCCCCAGCTGCCATGCCATGATGGAAAAGGGATGGAGGGAGAGGGTATCAGCTTGGTTCCGTAAATTGTGGCTTTCCCTATAGGCAAGAATAGAACAAAACGTAAGTGCTTGGAAGGAGGCAATTCTCTTCAAGTCTGGCCAGCAAAAAGACTCTGGCTTCTTCAGGGTGAGAATATTTGTGACTCGTGATTGTGGGGCCAACTCTGGATATTATACACTGCTTGCTTGAGGATATGTCCTCATCTGCGAGAGGTCCTTGAGCCTGCCAAGAAAGGTTTAGGGACAACTCCAGCTATTTGAAAGGTCTGTTCTCCTGAGATTTCTAGATGCATCCTTTTGGACAGCATTGACTAAGCTCCCACTTCTCATGAGATACGTCCTCTTTCTTGAAAGATGAGAGTAACTATTTGATGCATCTAGCTTTCATGGCAGTCATTTTTTAGTGACAAAAATGTGAGCTTAGCTGTTTCTGTTGCTTGGACAAAATACCGAAAACTTTATGCTTGGCGGCAAGGAGTGAA